AACACACCTTCCTGTTCTTGGTAGGTCCTTAGATCCTAGAGAGTACTTCAAAGAAATCACTCCCATTCTATAATAGTCTCCTTATAAGCCCCAAACCTGGTTTGTTCTTAAGTCTCCCACAGGTAATAGAATTAAACAGATTACTAAATAACACCTTTTAAAAGAAATAAAATTAGGGGAATAAAATTATTATAAATGGTTTATAGCCCATATAAAAGTTTTTACTGTACCTTTAAAGTAGTAATAAAGTATACCAAATAAAAAGTGTATCAATAGTATGTTATACATCAAATTAGTAGTAACAAGTTGGGTAGAATTAACTCCATTTACCATCCCTTGCTCAGAAGAAATTTTTAGGATCCTCTTCCTCTAGGTATTCACCCAGATAATTCTACATTTACTTTGTTTTGTTCCAGAAAATATACATTCTAAGAGACATCTTTTTCCCTACTAGTTCTCTCGTTTAGTGCCTTTTAATTTTTTTACAATTTTGTTGAGGCATATTTTATATATAATTCGTCCATTTCAAGTGCATAATTCAATGAATTTTGATAAATTCATAAAGATATGGAACACATTACAAATCAGTTTTAGAAATCTTCATCACTCCAACAAAGGCTTTCATGCCTATTTACTGTTAATATCTGTTCCCATCCCCTACTCCAATCAACCACTGATCTACTGCCGATCTCCATGCATTTGTCTAGCCTGGACATGTTCTATAAATGAAATATTTATGATCTCTTATATATGCCTTCTTTCACTTAGCATCTTTTTGGAGTTCATCCACATGGTAGCATGTATCAGTGGCTCACTTTTTTTTATTGCTGAATAATATGCCAATTAGTGTTTTTATTTATGCATGAATTTCCATTTTTCATTTTATAAAATGGATGTAAAATAACTTGGATACTTGGTGTGGGGGAGAAGAACCTACTTTTTTTTAATCCAAATGACATAGGTGTTTCTCAAATCCAATCCAGTTTAATAGGATGAGATTGTCCTAGCTTCATGAAACACTATTCCATTAGCTTCTTTTAAAACCATTGTCCTATACCTCCCTTCTAATAGAAACAAAAGTATAATTCCTCAAGGTTCCTTTCACTCTCCTGAGACTTATAAAAACTCCTACCCTTGGCTTGGCGCCTGTAGCTCAGCAGTTAGGGCACCAGCCATGTATACCAGAGTTGGCGGGTTCGAACCCAGCCCGGGCTTGCCAAACAACAATGACAACTACAACCAAAAAATAGCTGAGAGTTGTGGCAGAAGCCTATAGTCCCAGCTACTTGAGAGGCTGAAACAAGACAATCGCTTAAACCCAAAAGTTTGAGGTTGCTGTGAGCTGTGATGCCATAGCACTCTACTGAGGGCAACATAGTGAGACTTTGTCTCAAAAAAAAAAAAAAAAAAAATCCTACCCTTACTATGCCTTCTTTTTTTTTTCTATCTCCAATTCTTTCTCTAAGATTACCTTCAAAGTGATAAAATTCCCTTATTTTTGAAGTTTCTTAAAAGGTATATTAGAAATAAATACTGTATAAGCGTATAATCTGAAATTTTAAGAAGAACCCATAGTTCTTTTGACACAGCCCCTGAAAATAATTTATTCTATTTTTTAAAAAAGCTTTGTAAGTGATTTAAAAAGAAAACAAAACCTCACAGTACCAACAGAAAAGGAGCAAGAGGATCAAATTCAACATTTAATACCCTCACATTTAGGTTAAATAAAAGGGAAGGTCTAAGAATCTACAGTAATCAAGCAAGTTTTCTATTATCTTTTTTCTTTAACGTGACTTTGTTAAATATTAATTTTTCCATTCAGTATAAAGTAACACAATAATATTACTGTCTCACCTCTGTTTAATGATGATGCCTGATTCAGATTAAGTGGACTACTTACCTTCATAAGATATTAAATATACACTGATTACCAAATCAATTATAAAGCTGGGTGAGGGCTGGGAAAGAATGACACAAATCCGGCAACATACTTCTTACTTATTGCCAGCCTTTTTAAAATCTTAATTCCATAGATGATTCCCAGATAATTAGTTTGAAAACTTCAAAAATAAAATGATGTGGACATACATAAAGGCTTTACAAATGATAAAGGTTTTATAAAGAAATTATTTCAGGCTCAGCACCTGTAGCCCAGCAGCTAGGGCACCAGCCACATACATCAGAGCTGGTGGGTTCAAATCCTGCCCAGGCCTATCAAACAACAGTTGACAACTACAACCAAAAAATAGCCAGGCGTTGTGGTGGATGCCTGTAGTCCCAGCTACCCAGGAGGCTGAGGCAAGAGAATCACCTAAGCCCAAGAGCTGGAGGGTGCTGTGAGCTGTGATGCCAAGGCACCCTACCAAGGGCAACAAAGTGAGACTCTGCCTCAAAAAAAAAAAAAATAGCCAGGCATTGTGGCGGGCGCCTGTAGTCCCAGCTACTTGGGAGGCTGAGGCAGGAGAACCACTTAAGCCTAAGAGTTTGAGGTTGCTGTGAGCTGTAATGCCACAGTATTCTACCAAGCGCAACATAGTGAAACTGTCTCAATTTAAAAAATAATTATTTCATTGGCACTCTACCAAGAGCAACATAGTGAAACTCTGTCTCAATTTAAAAAATAATTATTTCATTATCTCCTTAGTGGCCTACAATACAGTTTTTCTGGAATACTTAACAGAGTTAAGCAATAAAAGACTAGCTACATGTAATTAGAAAAATCATGCAAGATAAGGAAAAATAATACAAGCAATTACTTGCAAGAGCATTTGTGCCAAGAAGGGGACTTCTCTTTGTGGCCAGTTATTGTAGCAGATGTGTGACAGGTCCTGTGAGCTACAGTTTTATCTCTGAAAGGACAACTACATAGGGGGTCTTGGTTTAAGGTTTACTCTACTTCCATTATAGCTCTGAATCTCGCTGAGCTGGTATAAGAAGTGTGAAGAAAGGCTATGCTTTGTAAATTTTTAAAAACTCTTAGTAAATCAAAACTCCCACTAAGCATTCTTTAATGTCATTATTTCCCCCCTTTTTTTTGAGACAGAGTCTCACTATGTCACCCTCAGTAGAGTGCTGTGGCATCACAGCTCACAGCAACCTCAAACTCTTGGGTTTAAGCAATTCTCTTGCCTCAACCTCCCAAGGCTGGGACTACAGGCACTACCACAACACCCAGCTATTTTTTTTGCTGTAGTTGTCATTGCTGCTTAGCAGACCCAAGCCAGGTTCAAACCCACCAGCCCCAGTGTATGTGGCCAGCACCCTAACCACTGAGCGATGAGTGCCAAGCCTGTCATTATTTCTATTTACTATATATAGAAAATGAATGTCAACCGGATGTGGTGGCTCACACCTATAATCCTAGCACTTTGAGAGGCCAAGGTAGGAGGATCGATTGAACCCAGGAGTTGGAGGTTGCAGTGACCTATGATCACGCTACTGCACTCTAGCAAGGGTGATAAAGTGAGATCCTGTCTCTTAAAAAAGAAAAAGAAAAGGAAATGAATGTCATGATAATATGTATACTATACCTTTCTCAGGCTTTCATATTCTTCACGAAGTTCCCCAGGCTTGCTTAACCTGATTGGTGCTCTGAATATAAAGTCTGGAAGAAAAGAAAATGAAAACAGTTTTTAACAAGACTTGTTATGGAAGGAACCAAGATCTTATCCTACCACTACTCCCATACTATAAATCACATAAAAATCTCTGGTCAACTAATTTGAATATTTATTCATTCATTTAACAAATATTTATTAGAGGTATAAATGAGGCACTGTTTTAAGCACTGAGGAGAAACAGTGAACAAATTAAGTCCATATAGACTCACTTAAGGAGTGATGAGGTTGTAATGAGCTAAGATGATGCCACTATACTCTAGTTTCAGAGACAAAGGCCTTGCCTCAAAAAAATAAATAAACTGGGGAGCTAGAGAGGGTTTGGTAAGTTCCCACCTAAGGGGTACAATATAGAGGTACATGCCACACTTTCTGGGTGACGGACTAAACTGCAACTCAGACTTTATCTCACAAACAATGTAACCTAATCATATGTACCCTCATATTAGTCTGAAATTTAAAAATTAATCAATTAATTAATTAAAGTCCTTGCTGTCATGGAGCTTACAAGCTTGTGGAGAAACATACTAAAACAATCAAGTGTGGGTGTAACACACATTTATTTGATTTTATACACACACACACACACACACTCTTACCTAATAGCGTCTCCACAAGCTTGTAAGCTCCATGACAGCGAGGACTATTATTTTTTATATATACACACAAACCCCTTGAATTTCTCAGTTCAGGTGATCCTCCTACCTCAGCCTCTCAAGTAGCTGATACTACAGGCATGCACCACCATGCACAGATAATTTTTCAATTTTTTGCAGAGATAGAGTCTCACTATGTTGCCCAGGCTTGTCTCAAATTCTTGAATTCAAGTGATCCTCCTGCCTCAGCCTTCCAGGTAGCTGGGATTATAGGCATAAGCCACCACACCAAGCCATTACTGAGTAACACTTTAAATAAGCTAAAGTTTTATTCATAGTGCTGCCATCTTCCCATATATAACCTACATATAATCTTATATATTTTTTCAGTACAAACCTAATTTTTTTATCCTCAAAGCCTTCAGTGATTTTATTTGGCCAATAGAATAAAGTAACATGTCAAAATTCTCGAGACCAATCACAACTTAATCTTTCTTAAGCACTGTATCTCTCCACTCTTTTTTTTTTTTTTTTTGAGACAGAGCCTCAAGCTGTCTGCCTGGGTAGAGTGCTATGGCTTCACTGTTCACAGCAACCTCCAACTCCTGGGCTCAAGCGAGTCTCCTGCCTCAGCCTCCCAAGTAGCTGGGACCACAGGCGCCCGCCACAATGCCTGGCTATTTTTTGGTTGCAGCCATTATTGTTGTTTGGCGGGCCTGGGCTGGATTCAAACCCACCACCTTAGGTGTACGTGGCTGGCGCCTTAGCCACTTGAGCCACAGGCGCCAAGCCACTCAACTCTTTACAGTCTAGCCACAACATATATATGCTATATTGTATTTAAAAATTATTTATGCTGTTTACTCAGCTGAAATTCTGTCTCCTCCCCTTCTCTCTATATAGAATATTTTTTTTTTTTTATTACTTCTTCCTCCTGTAGTGTTTTCGTGCCCCCCATTGGCTGGAATCACAAGGTCCGGCTGTCTCGTTGTCCTGTTGTTGTTGTAGAGACGGGGTCTCAGTCTGGCTCGTTTGGCTCAGGGGGGTCTTGGCTGGTCTCGAACCTCTGAGCTCAGGTGATCCACCCGCCTCGGCCTCCCATAGCGCTGGGACTACTGGCGTGCGCCACCACGCCCGGCCTATATAGAATATTTTTAAATTCAACAGACCCATAGGAATAATACACAATACATGTTGGTTATATAAATAGATCACCATAAAAATCAAAGTTAAGAATAGGAATAAAGCTGGGTGAGGTGGCTCACGCCTGTAATCCTAACACTCTGGGATGCTGAGATGGGTGGATTGCTTGAGCTCAGGAGTTCAAGGACAGCCTGAGCAAGACTGAGACACCATATCTACTAAAAATAGAAAAACTAGCCAAGCACTGTGGTAGGTACCTGTAGTCAAAGCCACTCAGGAGAGGCTGAGGCAAGAGGGCTGCCCAAGAGTTTGAGGTTGCTGTAAGCTATGATGCCACAGCACTCTACCCAGGGGGCAGCTTTAGGCTCTGTCTCAAAAAAAAAAAAAAAAAAACCAACTATTTACAAGGTTGGTCCCTGACTAGTGCTTAGGAATTTAGATTCCAGGAGGGTTTCCACCCTCCCTAACTGGTAAGAGTGGTTCATTGTATCTATACTATTTGTAGAAACAATATCCAGTAGAACCTCTCTATAAGTTGACCACTCACGGGCCCATAACAAACTTGTCAATATACAGAGACGGTCAACATAAGGAAGTAGGCCTACATACAGTAGGCCTGTACTGATATGTATAGAGCCTGAGAATTTAAGAACTTGTCCTAGAAAAAGTGCTGTGTACTTTGTTGCTGAATATCACTATGGTCAGCTTCGAAGTACTCTGCTTGGGAAACTGTACATTGACAGCAGTACCCTTCAAAACAATTCCCAAACTCTTTTTCTGAAATGACCATTAGATCTGTCATCCTATGAGGTCTAATAATGAAATTCACGAACATGCCACTGTACACTGGCAGCACTACACGAACAACTCAGTAAGGTTTCGTGTCTCACAGTTGTGTTCACATTGACACATGCTGGGGTCTTGCTGAGTGGCACTCCTTATTGTTGTTGCATGTTTTTGTGTGCCATATGATGACAGCTATAACTGTTATTCCAGAGAAAGAGTTTCAAAATTGCTTTGAAGGGTGGATTACGCACTAGCATCAATGCACAGCTTCCCCAAGGGAGTACTTGAAAGGTGAACATAGTGACATTCAGCAATGAGTTATGTTAAGATTTTATCTAGGATGAGTTCTTGAACATAATTGTCAGACCTTGTACATGTGGTACCTGTGTGGTCTATGAAAATTAGGTCAACTTAAAGAGACAGTCCATATAGGGAGGGAGGTGGTCAAATACGGTTCTACTGTGGTTTATGCTCAACACCTGATTTCCTGCTAGAAGTCTGAAATTTTGGTACATGCTAGGCAGATGTGTTCAGCCCCTAATAAAAACTCTACACATTAAGTCTCTAATATTAGCATTTCCTTGGCTGACAACATTTCACACATGCTGTCACAACTTCTTGCTGGAGGATTTAGGCATACTCTGTGTGCCTCCACCACAAGAAGACTCTGGAAGTTTCCACCTCATTTCCCCCAGTCTTTGTCTCACATGCTTTCTCCCTCTGCTCATTTTGCTCTGTATCTTTTCATTGTAATCAATTACAGTAGGGAATATAACTATGTGCTGAGTTATAGTGAATCAATGAACCTGTGAGGGGTCCTAGGGACCTCCCAATGCACACACAAGTCATATCATGAACTTAAAAATCTCTTTAGATCTCAGTTTCCACCTAAGCAATGAAGACAACACATTAGAAAACTTCTAAAGTTAATGATTCAGTGATTAATACTTGTATTTCACTTTTATTTCCTCCTTAATGTGTTTCTCTAAATTCTGTAAAACTCCATTAAAGTTTAATACTATGGGTAAAATGTTATGCAGTCATGACATCAAAATAATTTATATGAAGACTTGCAAAAAAATGTGGTGTTTCAATCCACTTGGATTAACATGAGAAATGGACCAGAAAAATGAAAATCTTCCCTTTTAAAGTCTTTCACAGTATCCCTTAAAGCTAAATGCAGAACATGTATGCATTCAACATTTTTAATTGTACTAAGATATTTACTACTGACCCTTCAGATTCCCTTATGTTTAATAAAGAACAATCACTAACAATAAAATAGTTTGTGTCTGCTGCTTTTCTTACTTTTCTCTTTAGTTCCCTTGCCTTCCTTAAGTCATATGTCAGCTTCCTCCACTCCAAAAGAGGAAATTGTGGTTGAAATGACAGCAATACTACTACAACAGCAGAGCAACAAACATGTCAAGTCAGGACAAGAAAAAGCAACACCATCTTCCTTAGTCCAAACGAATTAGTCACAAATCTACCAATCCCTCCACCAGCTTTTGTAGACAATGTCAATGTTTCAGTAGCACAGAAACAACCCTCACCCCACAGAAAAGAAATGTTGGAAACTACTTTAGGTATCACTGAATATCTCAGCATTTGTAATATCTTAAGCATTTGTAAATTAATCCAGCAGCTGAAGTACCTTCTTAATGGCTATCCTGGACTACTACTGTGCTTAACAGGAAGAGAAACTCTCTAAGGATATGAGCCCTAAGAATGACACACATCTGTGGCCAGTGACCTAAGTATTGCATTTAGTCTAGTGTGAATTGTAGTAATGGCTAAAGTTCCCTGAAGATCCTTCCTGAAAAAGGATTTTCTCTGGGGTGTGGTGACTGGTTACTAACAAAGAAAAGCAAACAAACAAACAAGACAGGCATTTTGCTAATTGCATCAAACCATCAGGAATGAAGCATCATTATCAAAGCATCCACACTCAATGCAAAATTAGAAAAAGAATATCACTCAACTATATTGGGAAAATATTATCCTAACAACCCCCAAATCCAAAGTACTTGACTATGCTGGAGTTTTTACCCTTGCAGGTTCAATTTCTTCTGAGTGCAACAGAATGAAAAAGAATGTTGGACTTCTTGAGTCCCAAGACTTAAATTAAATCCTATTTTGAAAATTCTCACTAACTATTTGTCCTTGGAAAATTCAAACAAACAAACAAACCTCTTTGTGTTTTAATTTTCTCATCTGTAACTTGGTAATAATAATACAACCATATCTCAGAACTATAGACATGATAAAATTAACAATGAATTCAAAAGTTTGTAAGCTGTTAAGTGATTGCTGAATTACTCTGCACAATACAAATCATGTTTATATTAACAATCTGCTGTAAAAGGTTAACTGCAGATAAATATATTTACAAAATTAAACAGACGGAAATAATTTCTTATAATCACAAGAGTGTGTTCTGTACCACTTATATTTCAACATGG